CCATAGATTTTATAAATTGGGGCAGCTAGAGAACCGTCTCGACATTTTAGTATCTGCCTAACTGCTATAGTTTGTTCATCTTCCAAATTATCTACAAGGAGGGATAAAAGAAAGTTTTCTAGGAGAAGGCAATAAGCATTTCTTAAAACAACAGGTAGTCTTGCATAGCTTGGTTAAAAGTTTTTATTCTTTTCAATGTTGCGCGTAAAATTCATGGGCATTCAGTAAAGTTTTTAGATTTCTTAATTTCAAACCAAGTAGACCATACTCTGTTTGTATGTAAAACTGAAGTAGGTTGTTCTGTTCTTGAGTACAAAACTAAAATTTGTCTCGCTAAACACCTGTCTTGATTAACCAGACCAAGTTTATAATTAGCGTACATTGGATTTATAGCACACTTACATAGATATTTTTTCCTTTTGAAAATAAATTAAAATTTGAGTAACAAAAAAAAGTAATTATGTGAATTTAAACTACAGATGAAGTTTTATGTTTATTTAAGTTGTGCTTATCTGAACTTATACCACACACATATTCGAACCTTTGATCAGAACTTAAGTCATTGATCACACTCTGTTCTGGAACAACTAAATAAGTCAAAACAGGTTCAAATTCGGCAATTGGACCTGTTTTGACTTAAAAGCATACGGCATGATATTTTAATTGCATAATTTAATAAAACCAAGGGGTCAGGGCAATATCATCCGTTTTTGCCATGTATAATAACATCCGTGAAGCAATATCGGAAATTTCATCTATGTATAATAACATCCGTGCAACAACATCCCAAATTTTATTGATGTATAATAAAATCCGTGTGTAGATTTTTCGGATGTAACTACATCCGAATTTTTTTTTTTTTTTTTTTTTTTAATGCATAAATTTAACCAGATGTAGTTACGCATCTAATTTTTTTCGGATGTAACTACATCCGCCAAAAAAAAAATTATTGTAATGCATTATTTTAAGCATAATAAATTTTTTTTTTTTTAATTATTTGATAGACTGCCTGCCCAAACAAGCTGGGTTTTCACTAAATCATTATATTAGATACGATAATTTCCGAACTTCCTCAATTTTGTTGCATATTATCAAATAAATGATACATTTTGTAAATTATGAATCAAGATAAGAAAAAAAAAAAGTTCGGATCTTTGCTTTTGTGTGTCCCTAAAGATTGATTGATTAGACCATGTTACTACAGAGGTAGCCAGTTTTTTATTTATTATAAATTTTCTACGATAAATAGACTTTTTAGAAGGGAAATAATATACTGGCTACCTCTGTAGTAACATAGTGTAATATCGATTCATTCATAGTCATAAGAAATATATAGTCTGGAAGCAAACAATAGCGCTTTGTTTATGTTTTTGTTCCAGAAATTACTCGTTCTCATTCTTCCGAAGGTGCACAGTAAACATAAACATCGCATAGCGAAAGTATCGATCTCCTTATTTTCTTGATACTTTTATATTAAATTTAAATAATTGTAATTTATTTTAGTGAACTGATTACAATTTGCTTTATTATTATTTGTTCTTGCAAGCTTAGCATTGTTAAAAAAAAAAAGATTTATTCAAAATTATGCAAAACTACATTATCCCATGTCAATAACTTATTATTATTAGACAACGTCTTAATAAGACGTTGTCTAATAATAATAAGTTATTGATATATATATATATATATAAGACTCTTATTGAATAAGACGTTGTCTAATATTACTTAAAAAGTTCAAAAGTCTATGAAATAGTTTTTCTTCGGTCTAAAACATGACTTTAAATAAATATGAAAATTAAAGACAATATATATATATATATATATATATATATATATATATATATATATATATATATATATATATATATATAAATATATATATATATATATATATATATATATATATATATATATATATATATATATACATATAACATATATATATATATATATATATACATATAACATATATATATATATATATATATATATATATATATATATATATATATATATATATATATATATATATATATATATATATATATATATATATATTATATATATATATTATATTTATGTAATATACATATATATATTACATTAACATTTTTAGTTTAGAACATAACACTTCTGTGCCTAATGCCATCAATATATATATATATATATATATATATATATATATATATATATATATATATATATATATATATATATATATATATATATATATATATATATATATATGTATATATATATATATATATATATATATATATATATATATATATATACATGTTATATATATATATATATATATATATATGCCATCAATATATATATATATATATATATAAATATATATATGTATATATATATATATATATATATATATATATATATATATATATATATATATATATATATATATATATATATATATATATATATATATATATATATATATATATATATATATATATATATATATATATATTGATGGCATTATGCACAGAAGTATTAAGTTCTAAACTAAAAATGTAAATGTGGCAAAGACACTTTAAACATTTATTAATAATATCAATTAGTAGACTCGTAACAATTTATCATACACTGACCATATTTGGACAGAATAATCTTTGAAAAATACAACAGTTTTTGTGAACTTAGCTCAATTTGACCAAATGTTGTACTTAACACTTCTGCACATAATGCCATCAATATATATCTATTTAGTTGTGTCAATGAATTAAAAACTAATAAAGTTTAAATGTATTTTGACTCTTTGATACATCTAGAATTAAAGATATATTTATGTGTTTACACAAGAATTTCCGATAAAATATATCAATTAGATTTTTGATTTTGTTAGACTTGACTACATAGAACAGCAGTTAAAGAAATAAATTTACTAGATACAATGTTAAACTAAAAAAATATTAAGCAAAATATTAGTAATATTATTTTATTAATACTAATTTATTTGTCATTCTCAGAATTTTTTAAACAAACAAAAAAACTTACAAAGATTTGAAAAAATGATTTTTTTAAATAAATTTTAGTTTTATATTTTTATTGGCAATATAATATAAATAAATATCATAAACAGTAAAGTAATTTTAGAATTTTGAAGCTAGTGAAAAAAATCTAACACTTAATATTCATAATAGTTAAATGTTCAAAAACATCAAACTTAAATACATTATACTGCATTTGCTTATACGCATCATGAAAAGTAAAAATAACTTGGATGATTTACTCACCGTTAATTAAAAATTGCTTTTTATTAGTCATGAATAGTGAAATCCAATCATATATATATATATATATATATATATATATATATATAAACTACATACATTTACCTACAGCTACTGTGTTTTGTCAAAATAGTGGATAAATTTGGCAAAACACTTGCTCAGCTGTGCAACTGCTCAGCTGTGCAACAGCTAATTATTACATCAGTATAAATTTTAATATTAATGCCCGAGAGATTCTAATTTAACATTCAAAAGTTTTCTGGTGGAATAATTCACCATTCATCATTAAATAAGATTTTAGTTTTCTCTTATAAATAGTTGTGTTTTTTTTTTGTCACAAATGATACATGGAAGTACATTCCAAAGTTTAGGACCATAGTGTGATAATGCTTAATAACCAAAACGATTGCTGCATTTTGTTTCTTTTAATTTTAATTTTTAGTTTTAATATTTTTTCTGACATTCAGTAGTAAATTAAATTGCATAATGATTTTAATGCTTCCAGAATAATATATTTGTGTATTATTAGAAGATTTTATTTCACTTATGCTCTACCAGAGTAAAGGTTAAATTGTTTATATGGTGCTCTTCTGTGGCAAAATTATAAAAAAATAATGGCACGCCTTCAGTATTGCTACAACAAATGTGGTAAAATGTTTTTTTCACTACAACAAGTATGATATCTCTCATGCTTTTAGAGTACAGATTACCATCTTTTCATACAATTATTTCGAACTACAGACATGCTTTTTGTAAACAGTTGATGGCTTGTTCCTTTGTGAATAATTCCATGCGTTCATTTAATCAAAGTTTAAAATAATATTTTTCTTGTAAAAACTATGGACCTGGCACCTAAATTGTATCTGCCTGTTGTCTGAAATATATTTATAATAATAATAATAATAATAATAATAATAATAATAATAATAATAATAATAATATATATATATATATATATATTATTATCATATTATATATATATATATATATATATATATATATATATATATATATTTATTATCATATTATATATATATATATATATATATATATATATATATATATATATATATATTATATATATAGTCTTCATATATATATATATACAATATATATTGTATATATATACATATATATATATATATATATATATATATATATATATATATATATATATATATATATATATATATATATATATATATATATATATATATATATATGAAGACTGGTTTTGAGATTAGATATATATATATATATATATATATATATATATATATTTAGATAATAATATATATATATATATATATATATATTATATATATATATATATATATATATATATATAATATATGTATAATATATGTATAATATATGTATAATATATGTATGTATATTTATTATCTTATTTATAACTACTTCAGCTATGTAAAATAGATTTTTAAAACTAAATAATCTTTTCTTAACAGATTAGAATAATAATTTATATAAAAAATTTTCAAAAACAATTTAAATTAAATCTAAAAACCAGTCTTTAGTTCAAACTCTTAAAGTGAGTAATGTTAAATAAAGTTTTGTTTATCTTTCTGTGCACCTTCAGCGGGTCGTTGATACAAGTTTCAACATAAAACGGCAAAACAATAGATACGGCCTTTATTTCCAGACTATTTATTCTTATGACTATGATTCATTGTAGTGGGTTTTATTAAAAACCGGTTAGTTAATAAATATAAAAAACAACACTAGACGCGGAGCGGTACATTTATTCTAGAGCGGTATATTAGCGGTTATAGGTTCTCATACAACTAGTATAATCTTTTAAAATGTTTACTTTTAATCTCAGCAAACTTTTGTAATGATTTTCCTCCAAGGTATATTTTTACAAGTAAAAATTTATTTTTGCAGTCCACATTTTTCATCGCTTTATGCTGGTTATACAGTGAGTTTTAACATTTTTGAAAGTCTTTTATTTGATAAAAATTTGCGGAAAAAGAAAAATGTTGTTTCTAACTTAGTTAGAAACAACTTTTTTCTTTTGATGTTTTATATTTACTAAATATAAAATAAATAACTAGTAAGTAACTAACTAAATAATTTAGTTAGTTACTACATATTATATATTTAACTTAAATAAGCTATGAATACACACACACACACACACACACACACACACACACACACACACACACACACACACACACACACACACACACACATACACACACACACATACACATGTGTACATATAAATATATATATATATATATATATATATATATATATATATATATATATATATATATATATATATATATATATATATATATATATATATATATATATATATATATATATATATATATATATATATACTGGATCCATAAGTGTAAAGTAGTAAATCACTATCATTTAGTTTATTCTCACTTTGCTTGGTAAATTGATTACCTATTTAATCAGATATTTTAATAATTTGCTGTTCTTCCCCATATGTCCTAATTTATATTTCAGGATCTTTTTCTAATCTTTTATATATAAAATAAAAAAAAGTAGGCATTGTATATATATATATATATATATATTGTATATATATATATATATATATATATATATATATATATATATATATATATATATATATATATATTTATATATATATATTAATTTAAAATATATTATTATATATTAAAATATATTATTATATATTTAAAATATATTATTATATATTAAAATATATTATTATATATATATATATATATTAATTTAAAAATTTCAGTGCGCGTACCTAATATATATATATATATATATATATATATATATATATATATATATATATATATATATATATATATATATATATATATATATATATATATATATATATATATATATATATATTAGGTACGCGCACTGAAATTTTTAAATTAATCATATAGTACAATGTTATATATCATTAGAAAGGCCTTTAATACAGTATTTTAAAGGTGAAAAAATTATTAAAAACGAACAATTCTAAAAAAAGTTATAACGTTTTTAGTACCAAATTTAAGATATATGGAGTTGTTGAAGAAACTGTGGTCAAAATAATTATTTTTTTCACTTAAATTATTATAACTTTGTCAATTTTTATCCAAATATCTATACCTTGGTATCAAAAGATAGGTGCACTAATGGGCTACAAGTTCATATAGGTGCCTGGACGTAGGGTGTATCTTGGGAGCCAGAGGGGGTAATGAAACACCATCTAACCCTTAAGAAAATACAAGTTTTTGTCAAAAATAAGCACTTTTTTAATGTAATTGTTAGATTTCATACATAAAATATTGCCATAACTTGATTCCAGAACACTGCCAAACAAAATAAGGTGATCTTAGAGTTGGCCGTAGATGTGGTTATGATGTTATAACACCCTAATACAATAATCATACATTCTAATAAATAATTTAATCTTTATTACAGTAATTAAATATTTTGTTAAAAAGTAAAAATATATTTTTTTACTATACAACATACATTAGTGATGTGCACACTAACTTTAGGGAAGGGCGTATGTCGCACCGCCCCCCCTGCCCCTGCCCCAACGCATAACAAAAAATAAAAATAATTAAATCTTTATTACAATAACTAAATGTTAACAAGTAAAAATAATATTTTATTACTATGCAACATATATTATTGATGTACACATTGACTTTAAATAAAGGAAGTCTAATGCACCACCTCTCCCCCCCCTCCCCACCTAACAAAAAATAACGTCATCTTTATTTCAATAATCAAATGTATTGTTAAAAAGAAAAAATAATCTTTTATAACTATATAACATACATTAGTATTGAAAATATTGTTGTATTACATGAAGCAATACTTTTTTTCTATAGAACATACATTAGTGATGTACAATTTGAGGAGAGGGATGGTTTTCCCCCTTCCCCTCAACCAACGTAAAAAAGAAAACACATAGAAATGATATTTTCAACATTTTCGCATGCAATTATTAAAAAAAGAAAGCACAATACAGAATTGTTTTACCAGATTGCACGAGTATACATTTTCTCATTTAAATAATCATATTTAACCAACCAACCTTATAAAAAACAAACAAACAAAAAAACAAATGTTTCGAAACATAGTAATTAATTTATGTCTTGGCTTTTAGTAAATGATTTAAATTAAGTTCCAATGCAACTAAATAAATCATTTTTAACAATAGACACCACGTGAAGGTAAGAGCCGCCTATCTTTTTTTTTTGCAAGCCACAAAACTTGCTATACCTATTTGCAAGCCACAAAACTTGCGGTACTTATTTGCAAGCCACAAAACTTGCGGTACACATTTGCAAGCCACAAAACTTGCTGTACCTATTTGCAAGCCACAAAACTTGCTGTATCTATTTGCAAGCCACAAAACTTGCGGTACTTATTTGCAAGCCATAAAACTTGCGGTACTTATTTGCAAGCCACAAAACTTGCTGTACCTATTTGCAAGCCACAAAACTTGCTGTACCTATTTACAAGCCATAAAACTTGCGGTACACATTTGCAAGCCACAAAACTTGCTGTATCTATTTGCAAGCTACAAAACTTGCTGTACCTATTTGCAAGCCACAAAACTTGACTTAATTATTATACTAACTATTTTAAAATAAAATTACAAAGTTGTAACAAAAAATCAATATAGCAAATAACAAGAAATGTATATACATATTAAATGTAATAGTTTATTAAATTACTAGTTGCAAAAGATGACTAAGGAACTAAAGTTAAACATATTATAAAGTTTGCACATTAAAAACTAATAGTTGTTTAACTTACCAGGTGTAGCACAAGAGGTAGATACTAAAATTACAAAGTTGTAACAAAAAATCAATATAGCAAATAACAAGAAATGTATATACATATTAAATGTAATAGTTTATTAAATTACTAGTTGCAAAAGATGACTAAGGAACTAAAGTTAAACATATTATAAAGTTTGCACATTAAAAACTAATAGTTGTTTAACTTACCAGGTGTAGCACAAGAGGTAGATACTAAAATACAAATCAATATTACAAATAACGAGAAATGCATACGCATATTAAATTTATTATTTTTTTAAATTACTAGTTGCAGCAGCTGACTAAGGAACTAAAGTTAAACATATTGTAAAGTTTGCAAATTAAAAATTAAGAGTTATGTAACTTACCAGGTGTAGTACAAGAGGTAGATACTAAAATTAAAAAATTAATATTGCAGCAAATGGGAAATCCATACACGACAAGTAATAAATAAATAAGTAAGAAATGCATATTTATGTATATTTCTTTAATGGTTAATTGAAGTTATGCTATAATAACTTACCAGCTGTAGTCTGTGCAAATTGGCCTCAAGATAACAAAAAAGTTAAATAATCAAAAAAAAAAAAAAATATCTTGAAATTGTCAACAGTCAATAAAAATAACAGTTATCAAATCAGTTCTGCTTTACGTACAATAACCTATGTAACTAAAAAAAAAGCAATAAAAAAAATAATAAAAAACATAAATTATATTACTGTATTTTAAAATTATATTACTGTATATTAGAAAAACACTAACAAGATACTTTTATAAGAATAAACATATTATTGTAAAAGTATCTTTGTAATTTTACAAAAACAAGCTTATTAATAATAAGCTTATTCATATAAAAATATCAATAATAATAATATTTTAAAATATCAATAATAATATTATTCTTAAAATATCAATAAAATCATAATATTATTCTAAAAAAATAATAATGTTATTCTAAAATTATCATTAATAATATTATTCTAAAAATATTTTGTCAAAAACTGTATTGGCTTAAGCCAATAAAGTTTTACTTTAAAGTATAATAATGTCATTTGTATATTTTTATATATATGGTGTATTAACAACATTGGCATCTGATACTATTAGTTAATAAAATATTCCAAAGTAACGGTTTAATCTTAAATCCTAATCTTTTTTAATATATACTATCATTGGTATAACTTATACCAAAGATTAAGGTTTTTAAACTTATACTATAAGTTTAAAAACCTTAATCTTTGTTTACATATCATGATGATATGTAAACAAAGATTAATGTTTTAAAACTTATAACTTTTTTAAATAACAAAACAATAATGATAAGTTTAAAAACCTTAATCTTTGTTTACATCATGATGATGTAAACAAACTTTGTTATTATCATGAAAAAGAAATTAACTTACTTTTTGAAGTCTTCTTTGTTATGACTTTTACCATTTTTTATTTATTAAAATAATCTAATATTAAAAATTAAATAATACAATGTAGTAAGAATTTTTTTGTTTACCATTCGCCACCCCCCTATCCTCCCCGTATTTCTCTTACCGATAAAACAAAAACAAAAACAAAAAAAACCGAATTTAGGTACCAAAAGTCCTACACTTCTTATACTATCTGCTCCCTAATATTTTTGGCTGAAATTTGGCATGTACAAAGAAAATGCATGCAAAAAAGTTCCTGAATAACAAAAAAAGTGGAAACTTCATTCCTTCGATAAGAACTTAATGTGAGAACATCAACGAAATTTTCATGAAAGTTTTTAGCAAAACTAACCATAAAAAAGTTTAGTGGTTATAAATAAAAGTACTATAAAAATTAAGCCTAACCTTTCTTCTTTCCAAATATACTTTTTGTTTATATATGTTTCTAAAAAAAAACACCACTAAAAACGTTAGTCTAACCCTACTTCAAAAAAGCAGTATATTTAAAAAAGCACCTCGTTACATATCTGCTCCCTAATATTTTTCGTTGAAATTTGGCACATAAATAGAAAATACATGTATAAAGGTGGCTGAACAATCAAAAAAGCGGAAACTTCATGCCTTCGACTACAAATTTATGTGAAAACATCAACTAAATATTCAGGAGCAAAATAATCCGTTAAAAAGTTTAGTAACCATACATAAAAGTTTAAAAAAAATAAAGATCAGCTTCTCTTCTTTCCAAAAAGTATCTATGTGTATATATGTTTCTAAAAAGAAACTCCACAAAACTACGTCTACCCCACGCTGCCTAAAAAAAAGTGAAAAAAACGAGTCACAAGATTTTATCACAAAAATCGGTTCAGTAAATGACGTAAATGCGCGTACCTATATATATATATATATATATATATATATATATATATATATATATATATATATATATATATATATATATATATATATATATATATATATATATATATAGGGAGATATATAAATCTATGCATACCTGTATATACTGGATCCATAAGTGTAAAGTAATAAATCACCATCATTTAGTATGATGGTATGATTTAAATCGTCAGTATATTAGGGAAATGCAATCATTTGATACACCATACATATTTAATAAATCAATTATTAATGAGTTAATAAGATTTTTTATTTGAACTATTACACAAAAACTTATTATTTTAACTATTATACAAAAACTTATTTGTTCATTATCTCAAAATAATGCTTTTAGACTTATTGCATTTCACTTAAAACCTGAATATATATGTATATATATATATATATATATATATATATATATATATATATATATATATATATATATATATATATATATATATATACACACACACACACAGATTGTTTTTACTATATTTCTCAAAAACACTTTTAAGTTTGACATTTTCATTGGTGTTGTATATGCTTTAATGTATTTTTTTATTTTTTATAGTGTACTAGAAAGAGCACCTAAATCTGAATAAATAAGTTGTTTCAAGACTTACTCATTGATATGAACACCGCGACTACAAAAGTGGATATAAATTTTCAATCAGAAATCTGAATATCAATTTGCAATTATTACAAATAACATTTTACAAAAAACCTTACCTATGTCACAATCTGTACAATCTATATTCTAAGTATCATCTTTGTCTGAGATTGCTATGAAGCCAGAAACAAAAAAAGCAAAGCTGCACAAGTTAGTCATGCACCTCTAACTTTTTTTGGCAGAAAACAAAAAAAAGGGATATAGTTAATTATTTGTTTATGTCTTTTGATATGTACTTCTATTGAGTGTTTTTTTAATGTTATGCTATTGCTAGTAGTTTAGACTATTTTTCTTAGACTATTTTTGTTATTATTAATAATTTTTTTTTGGTAAAGAAATCTCAATGTAGTTTATAATAATAATTCAAGGTTTTTTTTTTTTTTTTTTTTTTTTTTTAAAATTTAAGAAATAATTTTATAATTTTTAACTAGTAATTAACTCATCTAGAAAGATCTATATCATGAACTAAAAATGTTATACTGATAAGATATTGTGCGTTGAATTTTTTAAAAAAAAACTTTTTTTATAGCCACTAGTTATTAAAAAACATCTTTTAGATTAGAATGTTGAGAAACTTTGTAAGATACTCAAGAACAAAGAATCAGATGATACCAGATCTGTTGATAGTTTTAATAAGTTTATATTTAATGATATTGTTTTAAAATTTCTAAAAAAGTTTGTAAAATTTTATAAATTATCGGTGCTTATTGTTTTTTAAATAAAAATATCTGGGCATTTGTAATTTTCCGGAATAGTCAGAAATTAGTCCGGATGAACTGTAAACTTTTTTTTTATAAAAACCGGATATTTTTCTTTTAAATATGGAAATATAGATGTTTTCTGAAAAAATCAGTTTAATATGTTGAATGCTTCCTTGTTTATAAGCCTATTTCCTCATTTTGTATTAGAGCGACGCATAATGCGCCGGGGCAGTATGATCTTTTAGCTTTTACTCGTTTACTTTTGCCTTAATTTAACAGAGATTGCAATTTAATTAAACATACTACCCTTCATTGCTTAATCGTAATAATTTTTGATAAGATCAACTTCAGCGTTAAGAAAATTGAAAAGACTGTTTTTCATCATGAAAAGTGATTTTTGAAAGTTGCAAACAAATTCAAATAAATTTTTAATTAGATTTCCATATGACTTTACAACCAATTTATTGTAAACTCATATGTGTTAAGTTTATAATAAGTTTGTTTTTTTGAGTTGGTTACTGTATTTATAGAAGTTATTGGCATCAATATATCAACTGTACCTAATGGGGCACATTGATCGTTGACTATGCGGGGCTCATTGATCGGAGAATCAGAGTGCCCCATATAACTTATATTATAAGACTTAAATATTTTGTTTAAATTTTATACATTTAAACTTATGACGAATAAAAAATCTTTATATAAAGTTTTAAAATTTCATTTTTAAAATGTAATAGTGTTAAAAACTAATATTAATAACATTAGTTTTTAGTTTTACATAAGTTTTACAATTAGTTTACATAATATTATTATATAAAATATTTTTTTTAAACAATCATTTTATTTTACTTTTTTTTAAATTTTCAGATCTTTAAATGGTTAGGTATAGAAAAAAAAAAACAAAAAGAGTTGCTATATCATGTGATACAATGAAATCAGCTGTTAATGAAGTTTTAGAGGGCAGACCAGTGAATGTTGTAGCTTGCAAGTTTAGCATAAATTGAATGACCTTAAAAAGATATTGTAATAAAAAGAAGCTCAATCCAAACGAATCTTTTAAGCCTAATTACAACAATAAACAAGTTTTCACTGCAGAAGATGAAAAAAGTTTGTCAAGTTATTTACTACTTGCATCAAAAACGAACTATGGACTTTCAACTAAGTCAACACGATTATTGGCATACAAGTTTGCTGTAAAAAATAATAAGATTTGCCCTTCATCATGGATCAAGAATAAAATTGCAAGGGTTGATTGGTTTCAAGGTTTTATGAAAAGACAACCAGAGTTGTCTTTACGAAAACCTGAAGCAACTAACTTTGCTCGATCAACTGCCTTTACCCGACACTTTAACTGTTGGAGAATTTTTCCAAAATCTAAAAACAGTAAGAAATCTATACAAGTTTAATCCTTATTGCATATATAATGTTGATGAAACTGGTTTAACAACAGTACAAAAGCCAGTAAAAGTGTTAGCAGGTAAAGGAAGTAAACAAGTAGGAAGAATCACATCTGCAGAACGAGGAACATTAGTAACTGTATGTTGTGCTTCAAATGCAATTGGAAACTCTATTCCTCCACTATTTGTTTTTCCTAGGGTCAAATTTCATGATTACATGATAAAGGAAGGTCCTCCTGGATGCGTGGGATTTGCAAATCCTTCTGGTTGGATGAATTCAGACATTTTTATAGAATGGATAAAACATTTTGTGAGGTATTCAAACTGTTCTCATGAATCTCCAGTTTTGTTACTTCTGGACAGCCATAAAAGTCATATTTCTGTTAGAGCTTTGGATCTTGCAATTCAACATGGAATTACAATGCTAAGTTTTCCTCCCCATTGTACCCATAAATTGCAACCATTGGATAGAACTGTTTTTGGACCATTGAAAAGGTTTTACAATGCTGTGTGTGATAATTGGATGGTCACAAATCCAAGACCTATGACCATTTATGATATTGTTTCAATAGTTCGCGAACCATATACAAAAGCTTTCTCACCATCTAATATGCAGAGAGGATTTCAAGTAGCTGGCATTGAGCCATTTAATCCAGAAATTTTTAAAGATGATGAATATTTACCATCATCAGTTACAGATCGTGCTGCTCCAAATGTAGTAAACACAATTCTTGTGGAACCTGAAATGACTGTAGCACATGTTGATGGCATGGAGCCTGAAATGCCTGTAGTACATCATGAAACAAGTTTTTCGAACAAAGTGTCACCAAGCATTGCTTCATTACTCTCACCTGAAGTTTTGAAACCTTACCCGAAAGCATCTGCTAGAAAAAGAAGTGTTAAAAGTAGGCAATTAAAAACAAGGATTTTGACTGATACTCCAATCAGAAATGAAATTCGTTTGTCAGAAGAAAAGAAAACCCTAAAACAAATCAATCAACAAAAGAAACTCATCGCAAAAGATAAAAAAAGGGGAAAAGTTAAAAAGTACTTGCTTAGGAACAAAAAACAATGTAATGTAAAAGCAGCATCACGACTTGACTTTGACAAAGGATGATAATATAAAAAAATAATCTTGTAAACTTTAGTTCTAATCAAAATCTTGTATGAATCTTGTATTTTCTTTGGAAACTTAAAATACTGTATTCTTATAGACTTTATAAGCTTCAAGTTTTGTAAAACTTAACACATATATATGTTAGTAGTATATAACGGGCTTATTTTCATAGATAAAATTGTGGTTATGTGTGTGTCTGTGTGTGTGTGTGTTTTAAATTTTACTTTTTTTTTTAGATGTATTATATAATATACACTAATACCCTTCAACTAATGCATTTGTAGCACTTAGGTATACCAGTATTAAACATGTAAATAATGTTACTCATATAAGATCAAAGCGCCCCATATCAGAGATCATAGTACCCCATTGGGATACATTGATCTTTTGCAAGGGTTGTTGTAATGTTGAAATATACCATGTTCATTAATGTTTTTTATTAAAACATTTATTTTTACTTAAAGACAGATTGTTCTAGTTTAGTTTAGTAATTAATAAGTTTTTATATCTAGATCGGGTTGTTTGCAGTTTTCAAAATACTGCAACGGCGATCAATGCGCCCCTATCTCCCCTACACATCTGATTTTTTTCGGATGTAACTACATGCGAAAATTTGTTTTATTTAATAATGCATTATTTTAGGCGGATGTAGTTACACATCGAGAAAAACTCTCGGATGTAGTTACATCTTTCTAAAGATGTTATTAGACATCAATGAAATTTTGGATGTTGTTGCATAGATGTTAATTCAGTAAAGAAAAAAAGTGGATGATCTTACACAAAAATGTGCGGATGTTATTTCACTACTCCGCGGATGTTGTTGGACAGATGTAGTAATCTTTTCCCAAACCAAGTATTGTCTTTCAAATGAACTCTGCAAAACTATTTTGCACGTAAGTTATGCCAAATAAAATGACGGCGTATTTGAAGTACTTTTTTTAGTTCAAATTTCACTTATAAAACCCAATACTTTTACGGTCCAAGGTGGTCCAATAATTTGAGGCTTGAAATACATTGCTTAATAAGTATATTATCAATATAAATTTCGTTTATAATCCGCGGATGTCCACCTGGTCGATAATAATAATTTTTACAAGTTAACTGATGTATCTGATTTTATGTGGCGAAAACATTTAATAACTGGGTTTCAGTGAGTCTAGATCAAAAAGTGAAGTAAGTCTAGATTAGTGTTCTAAACTTGTTTAATATTAATACATCTTAAAATATCTATTTGTTAGTAATTTGTAACTATGTTACAAATTAGTGGTTCTAAGTAACTATGTTACAAATTAGTGGTTCTAATAAATTATAAGTTATTTGTAACTATGCAAAATAAACCGTTGCCAGGTATTTCAGGTATCACGATCAACTAAATAAAAAAAATCTTTAGAACCACTTAATTTGTAGTATCCTAATACTGTATGTGGTAGTATGGAAGTAATTCAATAAAGCTGTTACTTTCGTCCAGTTTATTTTTATTATGGTAAATAAAATATGTAGTTGCCAAGCAGTTTTGGTATCCATAGCAACCAAAAAATAAAACTAATTTCCGGTTGAAACCGCAATCCTCAAATTAGTAAACAGGTCTTAAAAATGGTCCTTAAATCTTTTTTATATGAGGATTTATTAGTTTTGTCCAGTAAAAGTGAGTTCTGGCCCACTGAATTGCGAATGTCGCAAAAAACGAAAAAGTTGATTAATTTTTGTTAAAAAGTTTAAATTAGTTCTAAAAAACTCTACCTATCTGAAGTAAGCTATCTGAGCGGACTGGTAAGTCGAATTTGAAAATCGACCACCCTTAATGTATTATCAATCCCGGTGGGAAATCAGCTAGCGGTATTTGTAACGATAAAGACAGCGATTTGGCTACGGAAATCGCTTGCCGGAAAAGCTAGCAAAAATTCTTATTGGGGTCATTCATAAATTAAGTTACCAGTTTTTGAAATTTTTTCCCTCTCAGCAACCCCCTTCCCCTACCTCGTAACGCATCCGTACACATTATTGACCCCCTCCCCAATATTACGCAACAATTTTGTCCCCCCCCCCCCCTCCCTCATTAAAAAAAAAATAATAATAAAACTCCCATCCTCTCTAAAAAAAGTTATTTTTTTTAGAGAAAAAATTTATTTTTATTTTTTTTTAGAGACAATCGTTTTGTGTTTTGTAAAATTTTGTACCCCTTACCATACTCTCTAAAAAAATTATTTTTTTTAGAGAGGATGGGAGGGGGTACAAAATTTTACAAAACACAAAACGATTGTCTATAATTCTCTAAGCTTCTTTGAGTTAATTAGTTAGTACTTTTTAGTCTATTTAATGTTTTAAATCATCGCTCTCCTAAATATGATACCAATTTTAAAAATCTATTTTTCCGATACATAATATATGCAAAATATTATATATATAAAATATATAATAAATAATAACATATTATACATGCAAAAATATTAATTTATATATACAATTTTCTTCAAGCTAACAACGTAAGCGTGGTTACGTGGATTCTGCCTCCGTCTGAGTAAACCGAGAGTTCAAGGTTTCTCGGTATCGTAAAGTTTTTTTTTTTTGTTAATGCACAAAGATTGTTTTTTTGTTGCAGCACACTTTTGTGCACCAACTAAATAAAGTTCTGCGGTTGAACCATATAAATTCAAAGCGCCGAACGTGCCCTACACAAACCGTCACAGTCCGTTAACAGGCTGTAACCGTTAACAGGCTGTAACGGAGTGTCAACATCGACTAAGTAAAATTTAGGCGTGGTTAATATTACAATCAACATGTAGATACATCAACTGAGGGTTTTGGTTAGGGCAGACACTCCTTTAATTAAAAGAACGTCTTCTCTAGAAAAAAAAAAAAAAAAGGTTGCGTCACAAAATCGAGACCCCCTCCCCCTCGTAAGAAAACCGCCTACCCCTCACCTTTCCCCCCTAAACGTGACGCAATTTATGGACGACCTCATTGCATTATTATTTTATTACTTATACAAATTTGTTGCGTTATTTTGTTTTATCTATTTGTTAAGTACACAATTTTTACAGTCATTAAAGAAGAGTTTAAGAAGATGACAATTAACTGATTGTTATAAAGAAAAATAATTTTTAAGAACAATTCTTCCTAAAAAAGGTTTTCATCTTACTTTAGCACAGATAAGACCATTTATTTTTTGGAACACAAACCTTGATTGGTTACAATCAAGATTTGTGGCTTACGCAACTATCATAAGTAAGCGCCATGTTTTTTTTTTGTTTTTGTTTTTTTCTTATTTCACCCTTTAAACATTGCTTAATGATTTTGTAACATTGCAGCCGTTTGAGGTATATGTTATTTTAGAAATTTAAAGGTTTGAAATATGAAAAAAAAAGTTAATCAGTAATACAAAAACGAAAATAAATTGCTATTCTTTGTTTGAGCTAAAAATATGTCTGAACCTCAAATAAATCAAAGTATTTATTTCATACCAATCAAAATTTTGACTAATTGGTTTACAATAAATTTGTGCTTTTGATATGAAACTTGCGATTGCATATTTAGGAAATTACAAGTACATCATTAACAACCTTACCATGAACACTATGAAGTATCAATCCATCTGCTAATGCTATCAAAAACGCCTGTAAGGATTTTTAAAAAATTTACAAAATTTTAAACTACATCTTATTTGAAGTGCGTAAACTTTCCATTAGTTGATCTGTCTGAACAAAAGTTGAAATTTTTACTCTAAATAAACTCTTTTAACTTAGTAAAAATATAAATTTTAAAATAATTTTAAACTTATATGAAGTCCATAGATATCAAATTATTGGAAAACCGGTGAACCTAAAGTTTATTTTTTTTAAAGTCAAAGTTGTATGGTGACCAGCTTAAAAACAAAGAATGTTCAAATCTGCGGATAAGTATACACTAGGGTTATAACTTTTTGATATCCCCAGTTTCCTGTAAGAAAAATATATTAACTTTGGTTTGAAAGCAACAGAAAAATCATTGGTTTTATTTACCTTTTGAAAAAGGTTACCCCGCATTATCCTGCACTATAGGCTGGCTCACAGATACCAAGTGAAATTTTTTTCCTATATAAGTAATTTAAAAACTTGGGTCTAAAAAAAGAAAATTTTAAAGAAATTTCAAAGTTTTTCTTGGTTAAAAGCATATATTATGTTTTGTTTTAATTAGTCTAAAGTTGCTGGCTTCTTTCGGTATACTTTAGGCTTGTTTGTCTAATATTTTTCCTGCTTCTTCGAATCGAGTCACCAATTGCTAAATTTTTAGTGGCAAAGAAGGATTATGTCCCAGATATTGTCGTCAAAGTTCATACTGTGCAAAAGTCGAGTTATTACTTTGTGCATACATCAATACTCTTGCAGTACGTTGTTGCGGAATGAAATTCCAATGTAAAATTTTTTGATTTTATCCTCAATTATCTGAAAATAAAATGCAGAAAGAGTGAATATTTTAGAAGTTTTAAGATAAGAAAAAATAGACAATGATTTTTGGAACAAAATCTGTCAAAACCTCAATACTTGAAAGAGGTTTAAAGGTAAAAAAGCAGCAACAAAAAAAGTCTTGAACGATTTCTAATTTGTTTTAGATTTTTAGAAGTTACATTAATTGAAGAAATGTTCTGATTATGACTTCTGAAGTTACTTAAACTAAAAAAACAAATTAGCATTTGAGCAGCTGCGGCGCAGTGGTTAGAGTTCTGGCTCAGAACTCTAACCACTTGTTTTTAGTCTAACAAACAACATTGGTATTGAAGTAGGTTTGAAATTCTAGATTAATGTTCTCCGGTGGTGCTTTGTAAAAAGACTGTAAGGACTTCTGAGAGCAGCTGAATAACTAAAAAAAAAAAAAAAAAAAACGTTTGTTTGTAACAAACTTTTCTAAAAAAAAAAAGTAATATTACGTAAATAGCTTTACATAAATTTTTTTGTTAAAGGTTCAACCAAAATAAAGCAAATAAAAACACATCATCGTTTTTTTTTTGTTTTCTTAATTTTGGTTGATTTTCTTAACTTTAAGGATGAATTGAGCCGTATTAAAAACTTAATAACTTTAATTAAGGGGGGAGGCATCAGCACCCTTGAACTACCTTTTTGGCTAGAGTCCTTCCTCTTTATTAACATATCAAGAAAAACTGACCTCTACTTATACATTATTCGATAATCACCCCTGTCTTTACTGACCTTAATTAAGTCCTGTCTTTATTTAATTTAATTAAGTCCTGTCTATACTGACCTTAATTAATTCCTGTCTTTACTGACCTTGATTAAGTCCTGTCTTTACTGACCTTAATTAAGTCCTGTCTTTATTTAACTTAATTAAGTCCTGTCTATACTGACCTTAATTAATTCCTGTCTTTACTGACCTTAATTAAGTCCTATCTTTACTGATCTTAATTAAGTCAAGTAATTTTAAAAGTTTACTTTTTATTGTCTTAGATAATTTTTTCTTATATATTTATTAAAAAAAAAAATTTTTACTGAAGTAAATACAACAAAAACATTATGATAACCTTTTTACTTGTTAAGTTTTCTGCGTTATTTTTTTTTACCTTTAGTGATATTATTTTTAATTTAATACTTATATTAAAAACTTAAATAAATTAAATATTTCAAAAAATGCATATGAATATATTAGGAAGTCTAAATGATAAAAAACGGAAAATTAATTATTCTAAAATAAAAATAAAAACATTGTTTGAATTGGAAATCTTTATGAACCTTAGGAAATAAAAGTTATCAAAATAAAAAATAAATACAATTAATGATTAATGGCACTTTTTAAATATAATTAATGATTTATGGCACTTAACTAATTGATTAAGTTACAACCTGACACCTTGCAGTTAAAACACCAAGCATTATTGATCATCATGCTAATCATGCTATTTCTAATAAAATGATTCTTTCTAACAGTATATATCTATACATATAATATTTAAACAAGCTACTGCAGACAAAAATCAAGTTTTTAAATTGTTACTAACAATATATAAGGGTTTAACAAATAAACTTTGTGAATCACCATCTGCTTCCAATAAACTTTGATGTCTTAAACCAATATCGGATAATTCAGAACTTTTAAGATCTTCGTCGTCATAATGAAAAAATAAAGTTGTTGAGAGTTTTTTATTATTTAATTCTTCTAAACATTTTATTTTTTTTAAACTGTTATTAGGTGAATTTTTGGCGTTGTTTGAAGGACTTTTTTGATCACGATCGTTTTTTAGTTTAGCTATATCATCTTTCGGATGAAACAGTATATCGAAACTTGGTGCTCGAGATAAAGAAATTTCTTTAAACGGTTTGCTGATTTGTTCTAAAAACGATAAAGAGTGTCTTTTATTTTTAACACGCTCAGATCCAGAGCTTGAGCATATACTGTCAAAACTTGAGGTTCTTTCGCGTTGCCAGTGTGCAAAAGGTGAGCGAGTCGATCCATTTTTATTGCTATTCAGAAAAGCAATTACTTTCTCCTCGTAATAGCTTTTTGGTTTATAAAAAAGTTCTATATCTATATTATTGATTTCTTTATTTTCCACTTCTTTTTCTTCCATGTCTTTTTCTTTATTAACAGATTTATCTACAAGAAAAAACGTTGACTACTATTTTCAATAATCGATGTTAAATATGTAAACACCGCAACCGTAGAAACGTATTAACATTGAATACATGAAAAGAGATCCGAAACTTATTAATAACACTTACAATTTTATTTTTTTGTTCTTTAAATGGTTTTGTTAGTGGTTTGTGGGCGATCCTAGTAGAAAATACGCTAACCGCATTATTAACTGTAGTACCAGAAATATTTTCTTATCACCCAATACAAAAAAAAAAATTTGTTAAAAGAGTTCTTAATAAAAATGTGCTGTATAGAAAAATTGAGGAAATATTTTTTCGTCATTAGATCCCCAATCGCAATGATTTGTGCGTCATTAGATCCCCAATCGCAATGATTTTTACGATTTTAGTAATTTGCGAAACAATAAATTTTATAAGTATTAGAGTAGTGAGTATATCGACTGAGGGTTTTTGTTCAGTCAAGATATAATCTAGATAACCTATTTGTACCGTGTAACAAGTTTTGCTTAAATTTTAAAGTTTTTTTCACAACTTTTTCTATCTATTTTAAATTGTTTTTCTATCTATTTTAAAAATGGAAAAAATTTATAAAAATACATGTAGCTTTTAACAGCCATTGATTTAATAACAAAAATTATACAGAAAAAAAAAATCAATATTAAATTAAATTCCAATATAAACTATATTTTAAAAAGTTATACTCTACCTATTTTGTTATATTATATATTGTTATTATAACCAGGGGGATTGAAAAATTTATATACCTCCTAAGTATTCAAAATATAACATTGAAAATTACATCAATTATTGTTATATAATCGTTGACGTTTATTACAACAAACCGAATATCAAGGGTATAAAAAGTGTATATGAGTATGAAAAGGAAATTTAACAATTTATATTTTTTTGAATTAATTTTAAGACAATTTTAAGACAATTCTAAGACAAATGGCTAACTCTTACTTACCCCATAATAATAAATAATAAATAATAATAGTAATAGTAGTAGTAGTAGTAGTAGTAGTAGTAGTAGTAGTAGTAGTAGTAGTAGTAGTAGTAGTAGTAGTAGTAGTAGTAGTAGTAGTAATTAATACTAATAAAAAAGGTATAGTCTTCTTAAACCCCCTTTACTACGTCACTGATTAGTAATGAAAGTTTGAAAAGTATGAGTCACGTATTAGTATTTCTTAAAAATATGATTCAGAAATAAAAAAAATTCTATAGTTGCTTATTAAATTTTGTATGGGGTGGATGAAATTTAAATAATACAAAATAGTAAATTAAAATATACTTTTCACAAAATATATACTTTTATTTTATTTATCTTTATTTGACCAACAAAAAAAAAAGTTAAATAATGATAACATGAAAAACAATTTTTAAAAACAATATACCAATAAAAATGTCGTCTTCATTTAAAAAAAATCTCGCCAATCTAAATTTTTCACATAGTTTTCAGACGTCTAGAATACGTCGAAAACACGTAATGTGTTTACTAAGAAACCTCCTGATAAATCTAAATTCTTTCTATGTTTTCAAAACTTCTTTTTTAAATTTCAATAAGATATGCAAGCTATATACATTAGGGCATCCCATACTTTTCAAAAAATAACTTTTAACATAATAAACACTTGGCCCTAGGTATTCTTTCCTTGAAAGTATATAAATTTAAGTTCTGTTAAAATAAAGCTGCTATTAAAAAATCTTCATTTGAAAAAATTGATTTATTTCTATATTTTATTGACCTGAAAATTATCTTGAAGCGTAAAAACATTTTTATGTGGAAACAATAAAAAACGTGTAAAATTCTTGATAAAATTAAACTTTTTACATTTCACAACAGTTTTTTTTTCATAGGAAATTTTTAAACAAAAAAAATTCTTAAAGTTTGATATTTTTTTGCGTTATATTTTTCGTATTTCGTTTTTGTATTTTTGTTAATTATAACCCACCAATACTAGTTGAAGTAAAAGATATAATTTACAATGAGTGGTCTAAAAACAAGAAAAAAGTACATCAATATTTTATTTAATAGGTATGCATTTTTTGAGAACATAATTTCTTTACTATGAAATTATATATGATATTTTATTAATTAAATATTATTTTAATAATATTATAAATATAATAAGTCATGAATAATACATTTTCTTCTAAAATGTTTGATCAACAATTGACATTAAAAACAAGGCTCTATTTCAGTTTCCTACCCTTATCATTTTATGATTTATTCCGATAGAGAATTTCATGCTGATTAAGTCAGTTAATGTAAATCTAAAAAGCTGTCTTTTTAATAAAAAGATTTTTTATTAAAAATATTTTAACTCATTATAATATTGAACTGAATTTAATTAAATTTCAATAATGATGACAATAAAAACCGGGTTGCGTATTTAAAAAAAAAGATTTTCAAACGATTTCTAAATATAAACTGATTAGAAGACTTTTTTTAAAAAGATGTCAATATTAGCATTTTTAGTATACTATTTTAAACTTAAACATCAAATTTACTTTGCTCAAATTTTCAGGACTATGTTTTTATACGTTTCTTAATCAGCATAAAATTAGAAACGTAAGATTCGTGGTTCAAACCCCACCTCTGGGCAAGTTTTGCGACATCGGTTGGGAAGGAGGCGTGAACTTGCTATTAAATGCTCTTCCGCGGTGCTCTGTGATAAGACCGTAAGGACTTCTTGGGGCACCTTAATCAACTTAAAAAAAAAAAAAAAAAAAAAAAAAAAAGATAATATAACATTATATCGATATTATTATATTAGGATATAAGATTAGTAAATAATTGAATTGGTTTAATGAACTTGGTGAGGAAATAATAAAAGTGTTATTTTCAGATCAGAAATATGCTTATAAAACAAACCAGCAGTAATTTTAGGAACTCTTACTGAAAGTTTCGCAAACCAAAAACCAGGCTCTATAGTCCATTCAAGGTGGCTTAATACTGACTCTTCCTTAATTTTGTTGTGGATATGAGGGAGATGACCTAAGAAACCTCTAAGTAATTAAAGTTAAGTTTCTTGTATCAGTAAAGTTCCCTATGTGGTTCTAAATCAAAGTGAAGCATAGTTGGATAGATGGGCCAAGCCACATCTATCCAACTATGTTGTATAGATGTGTCTTGGTTAAGTTTGCTAAGTTAAACGTAAGTTTGCTAAGGTTGAGTTAACTCAACCTTAGCAAACTTTAATTATCAACCTTATCAAACATCAAAGATGAAAATGTACAAAATGTCATTGAAAAATATATGAGATCATCAGCATGAAAAATATGTGAGATCATCAGCATGAAAAATATGTGAGATCATCAGCATGAAAAATATGTGAGATCATCAGTATGAAAAATATGTGAGATCATCAGCATGAAAAATATGTGAGATCATCAGCATGATAAATATGTGAGATCATCAGCATGAAAAATATGTGAGATCATCAGCATGAAATTCTCATTCCGAAATCTTATTGCAGAGATTACTTTGCAGCCAAAATAAAATTGAAATGAAATTTGCTGTTAAAAAAATTTTAGAAATTAGAAAAAATGAGGAAATGGGAACTCTAGCTTCTTGAACATATAAGCTTCCTCATTTAAACCTGTGTGCAACTAAATTGATTGAGTTAATAGCATGGGAGGAGGCATATGAACCCATTTTACCCTATCAAATAAACATTAATGAAATAAACAAAATCCTGGATTGTTCTATGGTAGCTCAGTATTTCCCTGTTCATACACAAGGAGTTAAGAGGGCAGTTGAAGATGTAAAATTAACTTTCCCTAACCTCAATAATATATTAGTTGTTATAAATGAAAAAAAAAAAAAATATTACTGTATTTTTTTTTTTAAATAAGTGTTATTTTATTTAAGTAACTGCAGCTTCTGAAACAGGTTTTAAGAGAGGAGATTTCTGCTAGAGCAGAAAATAGATCGATTTCAACAGCAAGAAGGACCTTATTTTAACAACCTCGTTTCAACAGCTAGAAGGACCTCATTCATTTTTAGAATTCCATTTTAGTACTTCTAATAGAGTTATAAAGCTTGAGCAATGAGTTTCATTTTATATGTTAACTTACATAACCCTCGTATTTTAAATAAGAATTTATAAAACCAGGTTGGGGAAGAAAGGAGGGCTTAAAAACCACTCTGAATATTTTAAAACTGGTCTATATTTACTGACACAAATGAAAAAAGTTTTTAACGTTTTTTTACCATCTATATCATTTATTCACCGATAAGAAATATTAAATCGAAATCGTGAAGGTTTTTTTACAAATCGCACAGTCAAGTTCTGGTACAATTTACCAATTGAAACAGTGGAAGTTAAAAATCTCAACTTATTTAAAGCTAAACTAGACTAAAATCTTTTTCTTGTTATGCCTGTAAAAGATTTAACATGGCATTTAAATCTCAACAGTATTGTATATTATAATATATATATATATATATATATATATATATATATATATATATATATATATATATATATATATATATATATATATATATATATATATATATATATATATATATATATATATATATATATATATATATATATATATATATATAGGATAATCTTAGACATAGTATGATTTTGGTCCCCCTCCCCATTTGAGTTAAGTTTTAAAAACTTAAGGTCTATTTTTTAAAATTTTGTCTTTATTCTGATCTTTATTATGTCTTTCTTTAATGTATTTACCTGAAGCAAAAAATTTATAAGTTTACTTTTTTAAGTAAAGTTGAAAAGTACGCGATGCCCTAATATACATAAAAGTGACTGCTTAAGTAAATGCTTTTTATAACAAATATATAATAAAAAAAGGAAAATAAAACATCATCAAATACAGTTAAATCCCAATATTAATTGTATGTATATTTTTCTGTGAGTTTCTCTAACTACCTGTTGTTATATTTGCCTCTGGCTAAATCTCACATTTTTTCAGATTTGCAGGTTCTTTTGGCGCATTTTTACAAGGTTACTGAATAATTATTAGGCTAATCAATAATAATTATAATTGAATAACTGACACGGAAACATTCACAACCTTGATGTGTTTTTTTTTGCTTTCAAATATTTTTGGATTTCACATTAACCAACCTATTTGTTGGTTAATGTGAAATCACAACAGCCAACAAACATTGTCTTTCTTTAACTATCTTCAGGATTTTTTCGGCAAAGATTGTCTTTCTTCAACTATCTTCAGAACTTTCTTCAGCAAAGATTGTCTTTCTTTAACTATCTTCAGAACTTTCTTCAGCAAAGATTGTCTTTCTTCAACTTCAGGACTTTCTTAAGCAAACATTGTCTTTCTTCAACTTCAGGACTTTCTTCAGCAAAGATTGTCTTTCTTCAACTTCAGGACTTTTTCAATATTTTTGTAGTAGTACAAAATGCATTTCTTCTGTGAGAATTTTTTCCTACGCAATTGAGTTTGCAGCTTCAGAAATTTGAGACTTCATAAAAATGAAAATCTACTTCATAAATTTCATTGAAAAATGTAATTAACTGTTGTACAAATATATCGACTGATGCAAAGATAATAATATATTTGTCTCGATATATCTAAGTGTATACTTAGATATATCGAGACAAATATATTATTATCTAAACATAAAGCAAAAATGAAATGGATCATATACAGTTTAAGTTTTAATAAATTAAATTCTATATTTCTGAATAACACAACAGGAATCCACTTTGATGTTGTCATTAACAGTTAAAAATCTATTTACTTCATTTAATCTCATTTATGTATTTAATTTTTAGATTTTTTAACGAGTTAATATATCCTTACCATTAAGTTATATCCTTACCATTAAGTGATATCGTTACCATTAAGTTATATCCTTACCATTAAGTTATATCTTGTTAATGGAGAGTAAAAACCTCATAATAAAAACACTCAATAAAGGTTTAATAGATGATTTACGAGAAAGTAAAAAAAAAAATGAATAAAAACATACTGATTATATTGCTATTTCTTATAATGTTTTAATGTAAAAACTTTTTAAATGAGTTTTTTTACTTTTTCAAATATAATTTAAAAGATCTTATTCTTTCTATGGAAAATATAATAAAATACTCTTAAAAGCCTCAATGTAACGTTTATATTTTTAAATGTTAGATAACATATTGTTGATTTAATATATAATTAATTGTGTTATATATATATATATATATATATATATATATATATATATATATATATATATATATATATATATATATATATATATATATATTTATTTATTTATTTAAAACGAGCATAGTGATAAATAATCTTAAAACGTTACGGCCCATGGCATACTATCTTAGCATTGCCTGTGCTACTTTTTTTAGAACACCTCAACAACAAAGAATTAAAAATGGATGGAAACTTAACTGCATATATAGCTTCAATTTTGAAATACTAATTATTTTTTTTAAATGTTGGTAACGTGATTTTATACGCTTAAGTTTAATTCTACGCTTTAAAAAAATTACGGTTGGGGTTCACTAGTTCGTGTTCTAACCATTACTTAGTACTAATTTTTGAGTGAACAAATTTAGTTAATTATTTTAGTTAACTAGCTTATTTAATAATTTTGAGGACACAAAAGACATAATAAAACATTTTGTCACAATCATGATTATGGTGATGATATACTTATATATTAACACAATTAAACATACACAAATATATATATATATATATATATATATATATATATATATATATATATATATATATATATATATATATATATATATATATATATATATATATATATATATATGTTACTTTAGCTAAGATTTAATTCTGCTGTTGTTTCACTGATTATTATTTAGTAATTTTGTAAATTTTAAAAACTGAATAAATTTGTTCATTAAAGAAGTAATTGAAAATATTCTCAGTATTTATTGATTTATAATATTAATTAGTTCGTAATTAACCAAAAACATGAATTAGTTAATTGTTTTACAACAAGTAATAATTACTTGCGCCAATTTAAAAATAATTTCATACAAGTAAATATTACCTATTTTAGGTAATCCGATAAAACTATTATTATTTACAATGTAAGGTTAAATACTCACTTTTTGAGGCCTTTTTATCCGTTTTGTAAAAACTTATAAAAACGATAAAGTAAAACTAATTGATATGCGCACTAATCATAACTATTTAAAAATCTGTTAATTAAACAAAAGCTTCTTTGAAACAAAACTCGTTGAAAATCTCCAAATAAAAGCGTTGAAAATCTCCAAACAGCATATTTTAAAGGAATAGTCACGCGTCCTGTCATGTTTATTTGTTTGATTTAGACTTTTTTTTTTACTCATTGACAACGATAACATCTTTAAGCGGCGACATTTGATATGTTTTTTTAACTAGTTTAGAACAGTTGTTTATTTCCTTCCCAAAATACATTTTTATGAAATAATAAAAATTCTAAACGTGGTTTTTTTAAGTTTCTACAACACACGGTTTAAGTTGAGTATCTACACCACACAATTTGGGTTGAATTTCTGCATTCTGTCCCTCTTCGTATTAAGTTTCTTAAACACCCGGTTTGTAGATGGGTTTTTTTTTTTTTTATTATTAAAAATTAAGGTACAAATATAAAGTTCTTTATAAAGCAAGAAAACATCACATGGTCACAAGTTTTAAACGCAACAAGATTTTTGTATAAAACTTGAAATCTGTTAATAAAAATTTAATCTAGTTCAAAATGAAAGAAAACAAAAAAGTAGAAAAAAAAAAACAACCTGATAGAAGCATTTTTTTTTGAGAAAACTTTTTGATTTCTTTGTTTCCAAGCCACCCATCTTTTATAGCCATATTTTTACGCCACACATCCTATTTTACAGCATTAAAATTATTGTATTTTTGCAACATTCAACAATATTTTTTATATTATATTATAAATGTTATAACCTTTTCCATGTCATAGGGCGCACGCAAAGCTTCTTTACAGACATACATACATGCATACATACATACATACATACATACATACATACATACATACATACATACATACATACATACATACATACATACATACATACATACATAAATATAGGGGAGAGTGGGGAGAAGTGGGACGCAGAAAAAGTGGGACAACCGGAAATTTTTAATTAGGAGTGGTGCCTAAATACTGCTATTTAATGTAAACAGTTAAATTTCTTCCCCTCTACCTAGCAGAAATTGCTTTGTCTCCTTGTGTGCGCTAGAAGCCCTAATTTTGAAATGTACCTAAACAATGTGTTTATATCGGGGTGAAGTGGGACAGAAAAAAGAAATATTTAGGAAAAAGTGGGGTAATGGTGTACGCTGGGTAACTCCAAACATGATCAAAACAACATTGTAGAAAAATAAGATTGACAATTTCTTTTTACCTGCTGAGAAGGGAACCCATGCTCAGTTCCAGACGTGCAGTAGTGTAATGTAGCTGCGGATGTTGTTTACTATAATTTGATTTTAACTTTTGTCTGATAATTTTATCCAACTTTTTTCTTCAGTCACATTCTCTTGTAGCTTCTATGGGAATAATGCCACTCCTTTTATTTGTTGTTATTGCATAATATAACTTTTAGACTTAGTTATTACAGTTAATATTTTATTCGTTATTACACAATAGTGTTTGTGATTGCCCCCCCCCCCCCATGTGTTTGGAATTACCCCACGTACGTAGAGTAATTCCGAACACCAATGGTTTTATTTTTGCCACAAATTTTTATCTTATAATAAGATTTATAAAAATTGCTTTTGAGGATTTGTAACTGAATAGTTAAACTAATTGATAAACAATAAATATGATCAATTTTGTATAACTGGTGTCTTTAATTTGCTTAGGTGTTTGCCAATACCCCACTCTCCCCAAAGCCCCACTATTGGTGAAAACTCTTAAACATTTATATGTCAATTAGTTGATTTTATGATTTTATCAGTTTCTATTTAATAATTTGTGTTAAATTGTTTTTTTAAATTTATTTGTCCCACTTCTACTTACACTTGTCCCACTTTAACCCAAGTGCATGGTTCTCTAAAAGCAAAAATTTATAACTTAGTTATAATTAGTTAGAGACCAAAAGGGATTGAATTGTTGCCTAAATTTATATCAGTTTATACATCAAATAAAAAAAATATTGCAATTACCCTAAAAATAAATTTACGTGTCCCACTTCTCCCCATTCTCCCCTACATACAGACATACATGCATGTATGCATACATACATGCATACATACATACATACATACATACATACATACATACATACATACATACATACATACATACATACATACATACATACATACATACATACATACATACATTTATATTATTGGGTATTTAGCTTGGAAATATGATGTCTGAGTGACTTCAGAACATTATATTCTTAGAAGACAAAAAACACAATTATACAGCAACAGAAAGTGTTAATGATAAACACTGGAATAAATGTCAAATGAAAGAGCCTGCTTGTTTTAAAAACATAATATATATTTTTAAAGCAGGGCCGAAGTTATAAACTTAAAATTTATCGATGAATATAAGTCTAGTTGAGAAAAGTACAAAACATGTTTGATAAACTTGTTGCCCCCAACTTTTTGCAAAGCATCATTATTTGACATAAGTATAAACATAAAAATGTTTGGAGTTAGCTCCATGTCTAGAAGTTAGCTATCTCAAACACCAAAAAATGCTGTCTGTCTCATTGAAGCTAGCAACAAGTTGCAAACATATCAAATTTAATCGGATTTATGTATACTTTTAACTAAAGACGGTCACCATTATAAAAAAATAATGAAAATAATGAAAATACTAAGTTCTTATTGAATGAACAATAAAAAAGAAAGAAAAAACAATTTAAATCAGAAATTAACACATTGATGATTTTTTTAATTAATTATTGATCAAAGTATGCGGTATATGCTGTTTAGCTTTTATCAAATAATTTTTTTTCCTCCATATTATAAAATAAAAACATAACTATTTTTAATCTCAAATCAAAGTAAAAAACTTAATCAAATGTTATTTAAAACGTTCAAATTTTTTCTAAACAATTTATTAATTAATATTTAGAAAGTTGTAAATTATGAGTTAAGGAATATACCTTAAAATATCTTTACGATTACAAAGATGTCGCCAAACAAAAATTTTATTTAGATGCTTTATTGGAGAAAGTTCCCCGTCAATATAAATTTTTTAAATTGTGATTTTTCTAAAAACTTTTTATTCAAATAAAGTTAAAGTTAAAGATTTAAAAATAGAAATCTTTTTTATAGATATATATAGATACACGTCATCAACTCGTTAAACATTACAATAATGTTTTAGCGTTGCAGTTTGACATCTGTATGGCTCGTTTTTTGTGGAAGTTCAAAATTGGCGCTCATAATTTAGTTTTGAAATTTTAGGTGTCATTAAAATTAATCCGTTGTTTTTAGAAAAGTATAATTCTTGGACTTTTCGAACTTTTGCCAAATTTTTTTCAAATGTTTTAGTTTTTTCTTTACGCTTTTTTTATTTTTATTTTACTTTTAATTTATATCAATTAAAAGTATTTTATATGGGACGACTGAATAAGTGCGAATTTCATAAGTGTGAATTTCATAAGTGCAGTGCGAACTGGCGTTAGTGCGAACTGGCGTAAGTACGAATTAGCATAAGTGTGCTAAAAGAATTTGCAAACATTGGCATAAATAAGAATTCCAAATTAAAATTATTATTTAACAAATGTCATTAAAATATTAGTTTTTTCTGAGTACTCACAAAGCACAAGGGAGAATTTTATTTGAGACAAACGTAAGAACTTTGATAAAATTTAGAGAAATAGGGAACGAACATGAGGCAATTTTGAACTTTATGCAATGCATGAATAACTAATTGATCTGAAAGAAATTACATTAGTATGCAGAACTTCATTGGTTAACTGCTGTTAAAATATTTAGTAAAACAGACACATAATTTGATTTACCATTTTACCATACTTAATGGGCACTTCCACTTTTAAGAAAATAGTTAATTCAAACTCTTATGAACAACTTGATGTGACACTGGTAAAGCTAAAATATTTTGGACACATTCAAAAAAGATTGAAGACCAGATTAAGTATCATAATAAAAAAAATATTAAGATACTAAAATCATACTTTAATAAAAAGGAAAGCTAACTGAATTCATGTTAACTTAATGCAAAAATTTTATGGAGAAGTTATCCAGATCCAGCATTTTTTGGTGTTTGAGCTATCTTCTAGACATGGAGAAAAATTTCAAAAACCAAAAAATGCTAGATCCACCCCTTTGACATTGTACTCTGTTAACTGATGAGTCTTATTGATATCAATTTCGTACGCCAGATACTGACAGTTGGTTTATACATGACACATATACAAACCAAATGTATATAAAACATAACATGAAAAGTCCTTTTATTAATCGTATCAATATAACAAAATGGTTTCATGGTATTATAGAGCTAATTTTTATTAGTCTTTTCGATGATGAGCTTATTAATTACAGAAAGTTTCAAAACAGGTTTTAAATATGTTTTAAGTAGGGTTTAAATAATGTTTTAGCTCATAAAGATAAGAGTACATGTGTCGCAAAAGAAATCGTAAAATAATAATAAAAAGAAAAGAAAGACAGTCAGGAAGATTAAGAAAGGATTTAAAGACAATCAAAATAAAAAAGAAGTAACTGATCCTTATTTTCCTGGTGGTTTTAATTAATGTTTTTTTGAAGAATATTTTTTTTGTTTATTTTTCTCAGATATGTTTTTTTCTAACATTTGCTTCAACTTCAATCATTATATTTTATAAAACAATTTTGCTTCGACCACCAACAGCATCTGAAAATTGATTTTTGATGTTGAAAACTGCTTGCAACAGAGAAAGAATACAGAATTTTTAGATTTTGAACTAATTTTTAGATTTTAGAGAAAGAATACAGAATTTTTAGATTTTGAATGAACTTTGATTTTCATCATGTGAAATTTTATGCGTAATAAGAAGCACCTAATTTTCGAAAATCTTTTTCAACTTGAGTTAAAGAAAAATTCTTAATGCACACTCGACCTTGTTTGATAAAACTATATATACTCAATTATACAGACATGGTACCGCCAACATCCTGATAGATCTGTGACAGTAGCTGAATTTTAAAATCTGTTTAATATTGCTTATGGTGAGGTTGCTTCAATAAGTAAGCCTGAAGTGAATTCCGTAAATCAGGATCTCATTTTTTTATTTTTCTCATCTTCACAGATAAAGATTATATATCAGCTTAAGTGATAAATCAA